GAAAGAGTTATAGATCTGTGAAGGAAAGACAAATATGTGTTTCCCACCATCATTTAGAAGTATTTTTTTATCCTATAATGTTTTAATGTTGTTCTTTTGTTTCTCATAGTTGAACTTTTCCTATGATGAAAATTCCAGACCTCTCATGTTTCCAAGTAGATCTTGCACAAAGAGTTGTTGATTAAATACTTTTTTTTCTCTCACTGTAAGTGATTATTATTAAAAACTAAAATTGCTCTCACTATATTCTTTTGTTCAATATTTAAAATAAAGTTTGGATTTCCCTAAAATAGGCCATGTGAATTTATTCTTAGGTGAAGATTGATTTAAGGATTTTTAATCGTCATAAAAAAAATAAATAAATTGAATTTTATTAATCTCACAATGGAGAAATTAACTTTGTGCATTTAGCCCGTCCCCTTTGGGTAGCAGTGGGCTTCCACTGTGCAGCGCCCAGGGAGGGGTGCCGGCTGTGGGGGATTGAACCGGCTACTTGCAACCTTCTCAGAGAACAAGCGCACTGCTCTAACCCACTAGATCAGGGGTCTTCAATGTTTTCCAGGCCAAGAACCCCCAAACTGATGGCAAGATGGAGCGGGGACCCCCTAATTATATATATTGTATTAAATTATGTTACATCCAACTGGTCCTATAGTTACTCTATTACATATGGAGTAATGTAATGAAAGTAATTCTCCCTGGGATTATTAAAGTATTTCTAATTCTGATTCCTGGTTGATGGGACAGGTGTTGTGAATGAAATGGTGCCCAGCTTGAAAGAGCTCCTGTGTGTCACATTGATGACTAAAGGACATCATCTGCCTCCAATTATCTGTTTACTACAGTTTGTTTAATTCATGTTAATGTGGATTTAAAGACATTTCAATTAGTGGAAAAAAAATGCAGGGAGGAATATATATATAAAAAAAAAAAAAGTCTAATTAACCAAAACTTTCGTGACCCTCTGTTGAAGACTAGGCCAACACTCCCCAAAGGGCTGTTGTTAGTTCTGTAGGAAGCAGTAAAAAATATGCTAATCTGGGCTTTAGGTTTATCAGTTCTTTACATCTGTGATTATCGTTTTAGAGGCATATCTAGTTTAACTTTCTGTTATCTGATGCTCATCCGGATGCTGCAGCCTTTAACTGTGTTTCATGGGGCGACAGTGGCGTTGGATGTAGGAGTTTGCCCTGCAATCGAAGGGTTGACGGTTCAAGCCCTGACTCTGTTTTTCACTGTCGTTGTGTCCTTGGGCAAGACACTTCACCTGCATGGTCTACTGATGGTGGTCAGAAGGCCCGGTGGCGCCAGTGTACGGCAGCCCCGCTTCTGTCAGTGAGCCCCAGGGCAGCTGTGGTTACAATGTAGCTTGCCACCATCAGTGTGTGAGTGTGCGTGTGAGTGGGTGAATGATTGTAGTGTAAAGCGCTTTGGTCAAGTCTCCTGACTTGAATAAAGGCGCTATATAAGTACATGCCATTTACCATTTACCATTTGTGTCCCTGAACAGGGCTGAAGGTGAACCGGCTGGACATGTACGGTGAAAAGTATAAACCGTTCAAAGGCATCAAGTATATGACCAAGGCTGGCAAGTTCCAGGTCCGAACATAAAGGCTGCTGCTGTGAGACTGCTGGACCAAACCATCATGAGACCAACATGGGGGGGATATGAGGCTGGGGAGGGTAATAGGGGAGCTGGTAGATTCCCTGGGTCAATGCTTATACCTGCTGAGGTTCACTCAGACAAACTGGAGGCTACTTGTAGCAGTAAGCAAAGGGACGTTTCCACACAGAAAGAAAAATGTTTGCTGCTCTGAATCTGTTAAAGAAATCTCTCCCTGAGCCGTCATGTCTCCAAAATTTCCTCACCAATAGTCACATGTGTTTCTTTTCCTTCTTTGGTCCTTGTTTTGTTCTTTTTCTAGGTCATTATAGCTCCTTGTCTTTTGTTTTTTTTTTCCTTTCTGTGTCTTTTGTTTTCTTTTTTCTGTCTTGAACACTGGAACATTCTGACATCCTTATTTATATCTGTTTACAGCTGCTGGTACCAACATTTCATTGTGATGAAAATGGGATGGCAGCTAAAGTGTCACAGAAAACCTAAGATTAACGTCCGCCTCATTTATTAAGTTCTTGTGTTATTGGATTGAGCAAGAATCATTTTTAACTGTACTGGATCAATTGGAAGCAAAGAAGAGCATAATTTTTTGGGCTTTATTTAACAATAAGCAACTGATTGGATCTAAAAATGACATGTTCGACAGCTAAATGTTTTCTCTTCCTCATATTTCTCACTGCCAGGAAAAGGGTATAATGTGAATATATAAAAAAAACAAATGTTACCACAGCAACTGAGCTTATCTGACATATTTGCATATGTGGGGTGATTTATTCATGCCTCTGCATCCTCACTCTGCTTACTATTAAAGAATGATCTATTTCTGTAATATGATGAGTACCTCCAAGGAAATGTTGATGGTTTGCATTTTGTGTTTACAAAATTATATTTGTGTTTAAAATACACCCTCTGGTGGAGTGTTACGATGGTGGAATAAGAAGAAATAAAAATGTCACATGTTATCAATGAGTGATTACATGAATATATCTTTCTGTCTTTTTTTTTATTTGATTTTTTGTTTTTAATCTGATTCCATGATATTATTTGAGGAGTTTCTCTATCATTGCTGTCTTGGCTGGTAGCAGCATAATGCAGCAGGTGACGGTTACAATGAACATAAGAAGAAAAGTCAGATCAGGCTTAGATCCAACATGCAAATGCAACATTATCAATTGATCAGAAATTTGTTTTTCTTAAGTTCTTTTAATAGATTTATGGGCGATGCTTTACAGGAATCAGGCATTGAAATTTATTAATTTAGACTCAACTTTATTTATCCCTTAGGATTACTCCTTCAGGGAAATTCTGGTTCCAGTAGCTTATATAGAGTACAAAGAGTTAAAGCAAGATGCCATTAAATATAATACTACAGACCATATAAAAATAGTGTACATTGTAGCAATACGCATAAATAAAAAAGTTATTCCACTTGCAGTGCAGAAATGTAATAGAAGCCAATTCAGTACAATGATGATTCAAAGTGCTTTACATGAATTAAACAACATAATGGAAGGAAAATCAAAGCAACTAAAGATAGAATCAGCTAGTAAAGCAAATTCAACATTTAGACCACAAACTTAAGCTAATTACATTTCCATTTCAATTCCACATTTATGATTTTTTTAAATTTATTTCATAAAGAGAGAAAAAGCATAGTTTCTTCTTTGCATGTGATGATCAGTTGGTTAGATGCTGACTTTTTCACCCCAAGCTGAAAAAAGTACAAAACACTCTTTCCATCACAGGAAAAGGCTAAATGTATTTTTTTTTTTTAAAGAAAATCAAAATACAATGTTATAATAAAGCTAATACAAAGAATCCCATTTTATAACACTTTTCATACATCTAATCTAACACCTTGTGCAATGCCATGTGTTGAATACCCCATAGAGGAGCATTACCCTGCCTACTAAAGACAATTCAATCTGAAAAACTCACAAGAAGAGAAAAGACAATTAGAAGTCCAGTTTGGATAACACAGGTTGAGAGAACCTGTCCATGATGAGCAAGCATGAAGCGACAGTGGAGAGGAAAAACCCGTTGGGAAGAAAAACCAGGTTCAACATGGCTGTCCTCTGCCGAACCGGTTGAGATGAGACATGAAACGCAGTAAGAATCTGGGAGAAATGACACTGATGAAGCTTTAGCTACAATGGAGGAGGAGGGGATGAATGTGGCTTGAAACGGTGTCATCTGCCGCCTACGCACAGGAGCAGGCAAGTTGTGGATCTGAGGCCTTTTAAGATGAACTTTTGATGCCGATTGGCTTTCGTGGAGGTGTGGTTCAAAGCTGATTGGCTGTGTCGCAGGTGGATGAAGGAAAGCAATGAGTTCCTTCAGTTTAACTTCCGCCTAGGCTCAATTTAGAGAAGGAGCAAAACTGGAGCAGAAGCTTGAATGGGGGCTATGCTGATGTTTGGAAATGCATCAACTGGAGTCGTCCCATTCCTACTCGCTAACATGTTTCAGATTGAGATACTGCTCCAAAGAAATCTTTCTGATTACTCTAATAAAAAAAAGTTTCATATTAGTTTTTTTTTTTTTTTTATAAAAAAAACGGACCCACAGCATTACCGGTCCTCCACCATACCTAAAAGTTGTTGTTTGTTCAGTTTTTTTCCTTCCCTTTATTTACACAAGGCAACATAAATGCGGCTTCTTCACCAACTGGGTAATTATAACAACCAGGCGTCTGTGAAATGCCCTGTTTACACACCTTAAAATCACAGATTAGTAACTACATGCTCACTGACACTGATCTCATTCTAATATTTATTTTGCTTTATTAATTTACAGAGTGAGATTATCTCACTCTCTTAATGGGGGCCACATTTTACCATCATTTGTCCAAATCTGAATGACACCCTCTCTTATACAGTTTTCTTCTGTAGTTTAAAGCCTCTGTAGCTTTTAGACATGCAGCCCCTGCTGTCAGTGCTGACTCCATGCTGTGGTATTTAATCTGCACACCCCCTCCTCTGACCACAGCCAGTCATTACATGTCCAGAGAGACCTGTGATCTGAAAAAGCGCCACTCCCTCGTCATGGTGCAAAAACATTGAAACCCACTCATGACATCACAGTTCACTGTTACAGACCCTATCTTTTCCGCTGATATCAGCAACCACATCAAAGGTCTTCCGTGACTCTTCTTTCTGATCATCTGTCGGTGGCTTCATCACTTCCCCTCACATGGGGCCATTCTTTTTTTTTTTTTTTTTTTACATGGGGCCATTCGGTCCCTGGGCTACTCGTCCTGTGACGTCACTCCTCCTCCCTTAATTTGCTCCACCGGGTTGGACTCCTCTCCATAATTTCCTAACCCCTTCCAAAACTTTCTACCTTTGCTCTCCCTGCCTTGCCCAGAGCATCGATCAGTCAGAGTTCTGTCAGCCTCCTTCTTCATCACTCCTCTCTGCGCTGAAAAGAAGCGCAACTAAATATTTCTTAAGCGTCTATCAGAAATATTTCATTCAGAGTGAAACTATTTACTGAGGAGGAGCAGAAACTTTGCTGGTAAGTTTGGTTTTCTTTTTTTTGTTTTTTAAACATAAATAATTTATATTTTAGTCTGTCAATGTTATCAATTAACCTCGGCAGGAAATGTTAGGTTAAAGTTATTTTATGTATTAAAGTGTATATTTTTTTGCTGAGTCAGTGTGAAAACTTTTATTGTGATAAAGTAACATGTTGTTGTTTGAAAGTGTTGCTTTTGTCACCTGAAGTAATGGGCCGCGTGCCTTCACTCACATCTCTAACTGGATTTTGTGTATCCGCGCGCTGATAACAGGCGGTATCCTAATGTAACGTCTGAAGGGAGGGTGTGTGTGTGTGTGTGTGTGTGTGTGGGGGGGGGGGGTGTTATCTCATTGCTTTGTTCTGTATTTGCCATACCCCCCCCCCCCCCCCCTGCCTGCGGGGTCTCTGTCAGAAAGCACGTGGACCAACTGTAATCATAACAACAGTAGCAGACTTGGAGCAGACAGCACGGAGGTGGCGTCGCGCGCCTCTTACCGACTTTTCCACGCGCGCGCGGATGTAACCACGTGCTTTAGTGATTTACAGTTTGTGGTTAAATGGCCCGACCGTTGAGTCAGCGTTTATCTGGCCCCACACATGTTGGTCCAGATAACAGTTTTGTGTTAAATCCACCACATTTGTAACTTTGTTATTCGTTCTGAGGAAGCCTCGATGGACAAGAGGATGCAGGTAAAAAACCTACAGGCATAAACTTTAAATCATGATGCTAAACCATTGGACTGTGTTGCGGCGATGCCATTTTTTGGCCCCTATTGGTCCACATTGATAAGGACACAAAGTAACAACCGACAAAGCAGAGGGAAAATCACTGAGTAAAGCTGTCCAGATAGAGCAGAGTTTGTTTATTAAAAACACAGACAGCAACATGGATAAAAACAGATGCTTCTGATTCTTAGACACACTCCCTCCATAGCTGCTATGTTTATCACGACCTAAAAGCCATGAACTTCTGGTATTTCTGCACAGAGTCTTTGAACGTCATTTGAAGATAATTTAGTGAGTAAGACAGTTTATACTGGTGAGGTTTGCCAGTAGAGATTGCCATTATGATGGTATTGTAAATAGTGTTGCGCCGATGCGATTTTTTGGCCCTGATACCGATACCCGATAACTGGCTGTGCAGTATTGGCCAATGCCGATACAATACTGATACCATCTGTTTGAAATTGATGTGTTTGTGTATATATGAAGAACTGCATACTACTTGGATGTAAAATAATTGCCATCATGGCTTTTTTAAGCTGCTGCCTACCTTTGTGAAGCAGGAACGACTAATACAAAGTGAATCCAGTAGAACTTTTTATTGCCTATCTGGAATGGGTGACAATACACTGAAAAAAGTGTAACATGTTCATTCAAACTAATGCTTTTCACTCTAAACTAGATAAAATTATTGATTTGATTGTCTAACTCATTCTTTTTGGATTTTGAGACATCAAGTTTGATTCAACCAGAACTAAATACATGTAGAGGGGACACAAAACAAAGTTTTTGATGTCTCTCAATATGTATATATGTATTCATGAGTCATATCTACTTGATAAAGTCCAAGTCCCCGTCTGTGACAGAGTGGCTCAGTGGTGCAGTGGCTAGCACTGCTGCCTTGCAGCAAGAAGGTTGCGGGTTTAATTCCCGACCTGGAGTCTTTCCTCTCCAGGGTGTATAGAGTTTGTAAGATGGGAAATGGAAATTATTTTTTGCAAACATTAAGTCTTGTTAATTTAGTTAAAAGTAAGTATATTAGGTTGGTCCAATGTGAATATATATGTTTGGTTTATCAACTAAAGTGTTCAGAAAATCATTTGTTAACATCAGCATAATATTATCAGGTCATAACAAGCGATAACATTTCAGATTCTGTGAAGTCAAATATTTTAGAGGTGATATCTGGACATACATTTTTTTTTAGTTTGAGTAAGGTTACTTTTTCCGGTGTAGTTGAATAAACTTTTGGCTCAAAAAATGGTATCGGTGCCCTATTTGTTGGTACCGATACCAATACCACCATTTTAGTGCAGTATTGGGGCACCGCCTGATACTGGTATCGGTAGCGGTGCAACACTAATATATATATATATATATATATAAAGTTTATAGCATGGAAAAATTGGTTTTACCTGAACAAGGCATGCAATGAGTAACTGCTACAAACTGTCAAAGTTGGAAAGTTTATGCAAACAGCGTTCATCTTTAATGCAGAACTTGTAATTCTGACTTTTGGCTTCATTGAAATTGAAATTTCCAAATCGGAAGTTGGAAATTTTGCTGATTTTCCAGCGGCTCCAGTTGGCCTGGCACTGCTCCATCACACCAATCTTCATGTGTTTCCCTTACTGCTTTCTACAGTTATCAATGCAGGCTTTGTTTTTATGGACGAACTAATTTATAATCTACCAAGAAAGCTTGTATCGGTAAAAAAGCAGTAATGGAAACATTTGAGTTGAGCATAAAAGTATGAAAACGTAACACAGCAAAGTAATTTTATTTATAAATTACAGTCAAATAACCTGAATCCCTTCTAGTTGATGTGAGAATGATTTAAATACTTAAAAATTCTGGTTTGTGAAGCAGGGATGAAGCTTTTATACTATCTCTCCATTGAACATACTTGTGTATTTTATGTTCACAGTTGAAAAGCAAGAAAAGAGAGAAAAAAAAATGTAACTTGGTCACATCAGGATCTAATAAAAATGTGACCATTTTAAATAGGAATTATACTTTTTATCCCCACACACCTTTGGTGGATCAGACCAGATCAGAAATAAATAGAGCGGAGCTGGCTGAGAAGGAGGAAGGTTGAGGTTCCTTCTTTTCGTTAACTTCTAACGATAATGTCGTTAAAAGGTAACGAAATAGAGATGTGCATTTGGTGGATTACTCTACAGCTCATATTGATGACATGTAAAATGAGAGGAAATGAACCACAGCTTTAATTCTAATTAATGACAATGATGAAAACAACTTTTACTCATTTCATCCCTAATTTAATTGTTTTTGAAAAAAACACAGATTAAATGTTTAAAAAAATATCTCATTCTTTATTTGTAAACAGGTTTTATTTACCAAAGGCGTAGTGTTTGGAAATAACCAGGTGGTTCTTCCTCAGGCTTACATACAAATTATTCCAAACAAGGAAAGACTTTAAACCAGGCTTTAGGAAGGAAACGCTTGGTTTTCTTCACACAATTCACTTTGCTGATTGTTGCCTGGAGTGCGCGACCCCTTAAACAAAGGGGACCGTTCCTGGCATCAGCCTATCACCCCCCCTCTTTCATTCAGGGAGTTGTAACCACCCCGTAAGTGTGAGCTCCGCTAGTGAAACACAATATCTTCTAGAACCGTGCACGTAGAGCTGCATGGCTGTAAGCCAACTACATTCAAAGCCCTGACAGCTGTTTTTTTAAAACCAGACGATGTCCAGACAGCAGCCAAAAGGGGTTTGCATTGTGAGGTGGTTCAAACTAAAGCTTTTAGGGTAAATACAGTTTAGACTGTGACCAACAGAGATTCTGTATCCCAGCATCCTGTGATGGAAAAACAATGCTACCAGCTCCTTCTTCATGGTTAGTCTCAGTAGAAAACGTTTTCTCTTACTCCTTTGTCTCTCTGTGGTCTCTGCACACTTCCAGACAGCCTGGAAAGACAATACCTTGAAGCCCCAGCAGCGTGCCCAACAACGTGGTGGGGTTGCCAGCCTTTCTTCAAAGGGAAGAGATGGAATCCAGACTCCAAGTTAGCGGCGGGATCCTCCAGGGCCACCCTGGCCACTGCCTTGCTCTTGTGTTTTTCTGGAAGACAACATGAGACCCAAGCCAACTCTTCTGGTACAATCCCACACAGCTAAGAAGGCTGGGACTCTTTCCAGTTTTCTTTAAATATCCAGACTGATAGAGGTTTTTTCACCTCCGCTTTTTTGTTTTTTTTTAGGACCGACATTTAGCTGTTGTTGCAGTGAAATGTGGATAATAACACAGCTTGGATTTTAAATTCTCCTTTTTAAGCTAAATTGTTTTTATCAGTGTGTAGTCTCTTTCCATTAGAGCAATTGTAAACAAGAGAGTCATCATGCCCAGGTCAAAAGCAAGACCCAAGTCGGCACAGGAAGACATGTATGATGCAGAGGAGGCTCAGTCTCTGTATTTGCAAAAATGTTCAGAAAAGAGATCTCCCCTGAGCAAATACATCGAGGCCGAGCACCAGCAAGCAGGACTCTTCTCTCTGTCTTCGTTGGAGGCCATCGCTGACCTCCAGAAGAAGAGGAGGAAGAAATGTGGCGCCTGCGTTCCCTGTCTTCGCAAGGAGAACTGCGGTACCTGCAGCAACTGTCTGAACCGCAAGACTGGCAAACAGATCTGCAAGGAGCGTAAATGTGAGGAGCTGAAGAAGAGGCAGAGTGACGGCGATGCCAGCGAGGTATGATGAGCTTAATACTGTCTGTACAGATGTTTGCTTAATTAGATCAAAACTTGATCCAAGATTTGACCCACATACACCAGTTTTAGCTAATTATTTAACCAATCATTCAAAAATATTTCTTTCTCAACTTTTCATGATATGAAGCTGCCATTAGTCATTTATTCAGGGGACCTGGAGTAAACAGGAAACATGGTTTAGTAAACTTCACCAACATTTTAGCTATTCAAACTGAGGTTGGGTAGTATTGGGTAGTTAGACAGAAAAAAATGAAAACATTTAACATTTTTGAAGCTATATCACTAAAATGTTCTAAACTCTTAATTTGAGATCTTGGAACATTTTAATCCTATACAGGGGTTGACGTTAAGGATTTTTACCACTTGCCCTTTGGGGCAAGTGACTTTTACATGTAATTTGCCCAGAAACAATTTTTACTTGCCCAGTATATTGTTTGATAAATATAGTTCCTAATATACATTTTTCTATAGATATATCAATGAAACATGTTTGTTTTTTAAATGTTTTTTGTAATTCAGTAAGTTTACAGGTTCCTGGTGTGTATATGCAAGTGTCAGATAATGAACTCAAGCCTACATTACCGTGTTAACATGCTTTTCAATCCTTCCTGCACATTCTTCTCAAACTAAACTTTGCTTTAAACTGTTGTGTGCTTGGAAAAATATAAATTTTAATGTTAAAAATCTGAAAAAACTTGTGTGGTTAAAAACGTACACTACTACTACTCACCAATTTAAAATTTTTAGCTCTATAGCATTTAAATGCACCACCCCAATGTCTACGAGAAAAAAAAATGTATGAACATTTTTTAATGTATGACCACTGTACAGAAGACTGCCATATGATAGACATATTTACACTGTGCGCATACAATTATTATTATTATTTTCCTAATCCCTGACTGATCATTTTTAATCTAGCGTGTATTATAGTATAGATTAAATTCATCATCCAGCTGCTGCTCTGCAGAATTCTCTCCCCAAGGAGAGAAAAATCACGCCATCTAGCGGAAAATTACGCAGCTTTTTCAAATCACGCGAGAATGTGTACAAAACAACAAAGATGACGCCGGCAACGCTTGTGGGTCGTTTTCAGCGAAGGTCGGTGATTTTAAAGTAATTTTGAGTGATAAATCTTTTTTTTTTTGCGATCATTGCACAATGAAATTTGTACTCTCCCGACAATAAAACTACTTGCCCCGGGCGATCGGGCGATGGTTAACTTCGAGCCCTGCTATACCCATGGTGCTTTGCATGTGTCATGGAATGCCTGGAGATAGCAGTCGCCCCATTTACACGCATGGCACGCAAAAATGAACCGGACCATGCCAGACACAACCCAACCAAGCTAACATGGTACTAGTTCATCAGTAGGGCTCAGAGCGGTGCAGTTCAGGCTCCATTCTCAGAGAACAAAGAGCGCATGAGCAGACCGTGTCATCTCCTAAAGGCTGATTTATACTCAGAAACCAGGTCGTCTGTGTGTGTGTCGCAGTGAATGCAAATGTTCCCCCGCCCCTGCCTTACCATAGATCCGTAGTACCGTAGATCGCCACTAGGAGGCGAGGAACCGTGCTAGCGTGGTGTGTAAATGGTCGTAGGAAGGAATTCTGCACGGTTAACTGATCCGGATCGGTTTTTAGAGGGTAGTGTAAATGGGGTTACTGTTTCCTTATCCACATTGTTCCAGTCATCTAGTTGCATCTCTTCAAAAAGGTTCATTTAGATCAACAATATCTGCTCCACAGCTGCCTGTTGGCGAGTCAGGATGAGCTTCTTCTTTTCAGGCTGAATTTACAGAGCCTGAGCCAAAGCTGCTACCGTGTAAATGTAAAAGCCCTCCTATATGTGAAGAAATCAACTTGTACAAAAAGGTTTTGTATTGATAATTATAGGAGTTTTCCCTCCTGGTGGAAAACATACCAAACCACCTTCTGGTAACAGTTAGTGGCACCAGAGCAGATGGAGGCAGGAGTCCTGCCAACTCAAGCACATTTATTCAGCCATAGAAGGCTGTGTGGACTGCAGGCATGGTTTCAAATGTTCAGAATAAGATAACACAATTACAGCTTCACTCACTGCAAATAAATAGTTATAACAACATTTTATAAATGAAAGTATTTTAATGCCTCCTATATACTGGAGTATTTTCATAGTGGTTTTAGAGAACTGTGTTTGCATGGCTGGAGCTGTGATGGCTACCAAACGGCAGCGGAGGAGAATTCCTGCAGTTGTCTGTGCTTTGTCCTTTGACCTTTCCAGTTTCCAATAAGGGTGGGGGTTAACCTTATGCAGTTTTGTATGTGTGTGTCTGTGTGTGTATATAGGGCTGTTAAGGAGCACAGAGAGAGAGAGAGTGGGGTTTCTAAAGTGTTTTCCTTTTGCCTTAATGGAGGTGTGCATGTGTATGTGCAGCAGCATCTTAAATACCGGGGGATGGGCTGTGAAACCAAAGATAGAGGGTGAAGTGTGGATGGTCAGCAGAAAAAAGTTAAAATAGACTACAAATGGATATCAAAAGGACCAAATACTTAGAAAACAAGCTTATTTATTTTCCTTAGGCAAAGAAAACATTCCCATCTGAAAGAATGAAAGATGATTTACTGAAAAATGTAATTATAGAGAATAAAACTTATTTATCTGGTTTAAAGTTTCATATTCACGACAAAGAATCAAATAACAACATTAACTGAGAATAACTGTCTTGTCACATAAAAAGGGTGAAAAAGAACAACATGGAGGATTCTTAATTGAGAAAGATGGAGGCTCCTCCCAAACCGTGACCTTAAAAAACATGGTGATAGCTGCAGGGATAAGTGGCATATTTACACATCAGGCAGTTTGTTTCTCATCACATCTTCTCTGCACATAAATTCATGCACAACATCTATTAGGGAACATTTCCCTTTTTTTGTTTGACATGTTTCACTATTAGCTTGAATTTTCCAGCAGTAATCATTCTGGTCTGTAAGTAAGAAATTTGGAACATCCTGTTGGTTTCAGACTTTCTGTCGAGTTTGATGTTTTTCTTACATCCTGTTTCTTAGGTTCTTTCTCTTTCCTTTTTGATAAGCATCTGTTTCTAGCACATTATTGCATCTAACTGATTCATCATTTGAAAATTTGGGCTTAATACATTTGTGTTATAGATAATCATCTTTTTTTTTTCCATCTAAATAATTCATAAATCAAGTTTTTCAGAGTAACACTTAATTAAACCAAAGCACAACAGTTTCATCACTTCAAGAAAACAAAAACTCTTTTGTAAAATGTAATAAGAAAGGAGAGTTTGACTCATGTTTGTACAAAAGAATAAGTGCACCAAGTGACCTTGAAAAAAACCTCTTTGAGCAAACATTTTATATTGAAGTTGAAGTGGAAGATGCAGTTTATTTACCCAAAAACACACTCTTAGTTCCTAGCATTGCTCTTCCAGTTTGGCTGGTCTTGTCTGTTCAGAAGCTTAAAAGTTTCTTCATTTTACGAAACTGTCTGACTTTGAAGGTGTGGTAAAGTGTGTAGGTGTTTACAGATTGTTATCATGCTTTTGCTACATGATTTCAATAAAGATAAAGTTAGCAGAAGTTATGTAATTTGACATTCTTTATATATATATATATATATATATATATATATATATATATATATATATATATATATATATATATATATATATATATATATATATATATATATATATATAAATACTGTTGAAGGCTTTTGACTTAGATATAGGTGGAGAGCCTTCTAGTTTGTCAGTAGTTTATTCGTACGGCTGTTATAATGAATACATTTTGGGCTGCATAATATATCCTGATAATACAGGATACATTCACAAAATACATTGAGTTCATTTAACATTAGTTTCACGGCAGCAGATACTCACACCCGATGCATGTCATTAAACAAAATGCTTCAAAAAGTTCACAGACTGATGGAAGCACTGATGAGAAAGAGATGATGAGGAATATAATGTAACTGACAATAGCAGTAAAAAGTAAAATTGTGATATTTCATACTGGGCAACCCTAGATCCATTGAAGATTTCCGTGCATCCACACACCATTATTTTGTTTCAGGTGTTGTTCTGCTTGTCATTGGTCCAATCAACTGTCCAAATAGGATCCATGTGTGCAGTTTGCCACACATTCGTGCCTCTCTGGCTGCACATGGCTGAAAAGTGACTCTGAAGACAGGCACTGGTGACAATATTAACATTAGACAGGGTTTCAGCTTTGGCTGACATAAAAGCTATAGATGAAACCTATTTTTGAAACAGTGGACCAAGTGTTAAAAGTTTTTTAAACTGCTTGAAAACTGTGCTTAGGTTTGTTGCTTACATCTGTATCCCTTCCCCCATGGTGCTTCCTTCCACCTCTGACATCTGTGTGCATTCAACAGCAAAGCTCTTCACTGCTTGCCACCCACATTCTCTGTCTTTTTCTGTGAGAACTGCTCTGTAGCTCACTGCAGTTTTAAGATTGTAATGTTATCAAAATCAATGCTCAAACATTCTGAGCATGAATGAGAGGAGGTTGAATGAGTTTTTCTATTCAGTTTTTAGTTGGGGAAAAAATGTTTGACTTGAGGATTAATTGAGATGTCAAAAGATTCTCTGTGTCTATAAGAATATTTTAGATTTCTCTTCCATTTTAACTGAAAAAATATATAAATCTAGATAAAAATCTGAAATTTAATCAAGAGATTAGAATATTTCCTCTGGCTGTTGCCTAATCTGCCTTGATTAGTACTTCTTTTTTTTTTTACCATATTCTTGCACATTTAGTTATGCTAGAACTACAAACTTAATGTGGTTATTGAGGTTATTGTTTATGAAGCAGAAGGGAAATGATGTATAGTTTTGACATTTTTGGTGTTGAAAATCTAAAAGGTGTGGTGTGCAACTGCACTTGTTACCCAGTAGTCTGATGCTCCTAAATGATATCTAATGCAGTTATACTGCACAAAAGATAAGCACAATTTTCTTACATTAAATGTATTTACCATTCATTTTATTTGGTGAATAAGATGACCTGCCAACCGAATGAATATTTCTACTCTTAAAATAATAATAATTAAACTTAATTGATCTCACATTGGAGATATTTAGCTCTGCATCCCCACTGTGCGGCGCCTGGGGAGCAGTGTGGGGTTAAGGGTCTTGCTCAGGGAATCAGAGTGCAGGCTGTGGGGATCGAACCGTGTACTTGCAACCTTATCAGAGCACAGGCGCACTGCTCTAACCACTTGGCCAACACTCCACCATTATGCACCTGAGATATTTTATTGCTATTTTATTTTTCTTATTTTAAATTTAAATGGCCTTATTGCATTGGCAAAGGTTCTCAATTACATGCTTGATAAAAAAAAAAAACACTTTAGGAAAAATTACTCTCTTGAATTTCAAAATTTCTGCCGTTAGCTGCATAATTAAGTTACTTAATTGTAAATAAGAGTCCAAATTTGTGCACTTTGACCTCAATATTGGTCCATTTATTGAAGGCCTCAGAGGATCGTTAGAGAACGTTATTCAACAAGGTTCAAATACTGAGCTACAAACATCCTATTAATCACTTGATTGACGAACTTGTGCGTCGTCTTCATCAGTCTTACAGAAACAGAGTGTCTTTAGTCAATATCAGCAGTAAGCCAGACCGCTACAGGACATCCTTCCTGCCTCTATACCAGCATCCCTTTGATATGAGTTACAACATATAATCTCCCTTTTAGATTAATAAAGTATATTTTATTAGAATTGAAATAAAATGTAAAGAGTATGGCAAAGTTTAAGTTACCAAGAAACAGACGACACTTCAGTAAACACAGAAGCAGCTACAGGACATGGTTAGATCTGGAGATGCTCCAGCAATCAGGAGTCCAGACAGATAAATCCTCTGTCATACAGGTATCAGTAATACACAGATTAAATCGAGTCTAGCTTTAAACTCACAAGCAGGGGTTCACATTCAAACAGGAAACAACCCCGAATGCTCAGCCAGATCTATGCTGGAATGACTTAGATCCAAGCTACATACAGACATAGATCAAATTGAGAAAATCTAGAAAAAGTTGAAAATTGATGCTCGAATATGGCCGTCATCTAAACTGAACTGTTGAAATATCCTTCCAAGCAGATTGGTTAAACAATCAGGTCAGCAGATTGGAGGCTGCAAAAGCTGAAAGCTGAGTCTCTGGGGGAGCTAAATACAAGTGAATATGATATGTTCAGGTTTAATTTGTAAAGCTGTTGAAAAACATCTAGTTTTTTTTTCCCTTCACATTTTTAGCTATTTTGCATTTGTTTATGGCATGACACTTTATTGTAATGTGGCAATGAGTGGAGTTTAGAGGATATGAACGGCATGATCTCTAAGCAGAGTTAGTTTTACTTCTATCTGTTTGTACGGCAACGAAGCCGTAAGTAGCTCTGGCTGAAGATCTACAACTGCTTGATTCCACCTGTAACAAAGCAAATAGAGAACTGATCACATAGTCCAGCTCGCCACAATCACGCCTCCGCTCATACATAAATATCACACACACACACACACTAACACACACACGTGGTGCATCTTACGTCAGAGGCGGGGATTTCCCATGCCATACAAGAGTGTCAGACAGACACCACAAAATGCTACGTCACGCTGAGGCTGCCCTGCTTCACCGTGCCACACTTCAGCTCCCTCCTTTTCGCTTCTCACACAGTCTGTCAGCTTCTCGCCGTATGTCCAACTGGGCTCCATCCGCTGTGTCTTCACCGGCCTCCCTGAACTTTCGCTGACTTTCGCTCGCCGCTCTATGGTCGCTGCTTCTTCCTTCTGCGAGCGTTCTTTTTCGTGGACTTGAGTGGAAAGAAACACAAATTGCATCCTCGCTGCTGCTAGATTGTTGTTCTAGACAAAGCAAAATTTCATCTGCACTTTTGTGGCTTGAACTCACTCAGCGTACAGCGTATATGCTCTGAAAAACCAGAATTGCTATTCAGATTATTTTTACCCCTCAGAATGCAACAGCATGAACTCTTATGTCTATAATCTAAAAGAACAAAGTGAGTTTGTGGCGTTTTGTCCCCTAAAGTGTAAGATCAAGGCATGTTGTTCCACGTGTTGGCTTTACAGCTCACATACATGACGACACAGTCGCATCTGTCAACCTTTTTGGGACAGATTCCAAAACAGTGCTCGTGGAAAACCAGAATCTGCAGCGTTTGATGTTGCTCTTCTGAGTCAGCACCGAAGGCGTTCTGCTGAGTAATCGTGCTTTGCACCCGTCAGACCTGTTGTGTTGGTCTCATCGAGAAGGTCTGTGTGACTGAATGTGAATGCTGGGCTTCCGCTGCAAAGTCCAGTCCAGTTATTGCAGGCAGCTCTAACACAGATGGTGCACAGCGATACCACATACCAGAGGCATTGTTTAGGGAAGGCGAGTTCGAGGAGATAATTGACAAGCATAGAGAGAAGCCCCCCCCCAACCCAAGCACACACATGCACACCTCCCACCTACCTTCACTTTGTCTCTTTATGTCAGCCTTTCTTTTATTGCACTGCACACACACACACACACACACACAAGCCTGTTTTTTGTATTTAACCTCCTCTTTCTACTTTTCCTCTCCACACCCCAGCCTGCTCTCCTTCATTTTCAGCCTAGCAGCAGAGCCCTCGCCTGTCCTCTGATTGGTGGACAGACCGCCTTTGTGTGCTATCTGTAATGTGACGTCTCTCGAGTGAGCTCTGTACATTTGTGTGTGTGCTTTTAGTTCATGGGTGTATATTTTGTTAGAGATGGGGGGGGGGGCTGTCTGTAGGGGACATCAGATATGTGGGAGGAGAGAAAAAAATACTGCATGAGTGGGAGGAAGCTGTGATAGCAGTCACATAGAAAAAAGATCCCTTGTGCGCGCGTGTGTGCGTGTGTTTATGTGTGGCATATGAGAAAGAGAGACAGCCAGGGGAGGGAGGGGGGAAGTGCGAGGGAGAGCAAACGCATCGAGAGAGAGAGAGAAAGAGAGAGAACGTGCGTACGAGGGCTCATGTAAAACCTGATTAAAAACACAAGATGGCTTCCTGAATGGGCTGCTGGGACACAGACGAAAGAGAGACTGAGAAGGAAGAGTGGCGAGACGTGGAGACAGAAGAAAGGGACAGAGGGGAAGGGGGTGAGGACGAGAGAGGTAGATTCTCTTATGGGGGATTCTGTCAGAGGACGGAGGAGTACGAACCGAAGCAGCTCCAAGGCTTGATGGGTAAATATTCCTCTCTCCAGACTATTTTAGGAGTGATAGGAGGGTGGAGGCAAGGAGGTGGGAATGGTGGGGGAGTGTGTATCTGTATGTGTGTGTGTGTGAATGTGCATTTGTGTGTGTAGGTTAGCAGGGCTGGCGAGCAGCTTGAGACAAAACACATCATATGACATAGAGACAGCCAGAGCATATTGAAACCACAGAGACATGCTGTGCAAATAAAAAGATGCTTGTGTCTCTGCACGATATCCCATTCAGTTACGTATGCTTCTGCTGTAATTGTTCCTGTTACCTGTAACAATGTCTGTGTGGAGACCTCACCTAATTAAAGGAGGAAAACTGAATCTCATCCGGCGTCCTGGCAGCGGAGGAAAACGCCGGCTCACTCTTTGCACAAATCAAAGATTTCTGTTCATGCTTGCTTTTTTTTTGCAGGAATGGTTGTTAGAATGGTGTCATACATTTATTGTTGTTAGTACTTTTACTGGTACAGCACCATGTCATTCTTAATATCTCTCTCCCCCCCACCCCTAACCCCATCCCTTACCACACCTGGCTGAAAAGGTGGGATTTTCTGAAGACAAGAGTCACGGCTGTGTTGAACCCCCTGAAGTAGCAACTCAGGTAAGAGGGGTCCCTGGTTTGTTGTGTCTTTAAGTGTTTTTATGTTGCTACCGACTTAACCCATCAAGTTTAGAAAGCACAGTTAGCAGTTTCTCATTTCTATCAATGTGAAAACCATCGGTAGTCTTTATGTAATTTGGTTCACAGCCATTGGTCGGAGAGATCTGGAAAGGTCATTTGACTATTTGCAGCGCCGCGAATGTTTGAGCGCTTCCTTTCATCCTGGATCTCACCTCCAGAGAGGATAATGTGCTTCAGATCAACTAAGGTCTCCTACAAAAAAGTTACCTCTTCGAAAAAGGCAACTTGATTCCTTTTTCGATGACACGCCGGCATCCTCGGTTTAAAGCATCCCACGCTGCGAGCTGATTGGTGCAAGAGTCTAGCATGTGTAGATACTGCGAGAGACCAGGAAAAGAAGGAAGCCAGAAGGGAGGGAGGGAGCAAAAAGGAAGCCTGCACGCTGGCTCACTAGCCAGGAAGGGAAGCTGTCCTGCTTTTCCTGGGTTCTGGAGTTAAATGAGGTAAAGGGAGTAAAAGTTAGTGGGTCACGCATGCGTACGAGTCGGATCGCTGGGTGTAGTAACCTATGAGGTGCGGATGATGAGAAATCTTTTTCTTCTACGCGTCATGTCGGGACCCGATCTCTGTTTGTAAGGAAGAAAATCGAGGAAACGTGAGAGAGAAAATAAATAATGCTGTAAAAGAACATTGGCGCTGCCAAGGTCTTACATTTGTCCCACTGGCAAAGTCATCAGACATCAAATGTAGCTTGTTCCGTTCATAAAGAGCTACTGCTCACCTTTTTTTTTTTGTAAGCCTGCTTTAATCTCTGTCCAAATGTAGACAGCCCTTTTATCTTTTAAGTATATATTGCCATCTGGTCTACAGGGAACACGATCATGTGTCCTGTCCTGTGTTCAACTAGTTGGTGTTCTTTTTCCTCCGGCTCCTGTTTGGAGAGGTTTCTGAGAATGCCCTGGGTGGAATGTTTACCTCATTAAGATCCTTTTCCTTCTCAAACATTCCCGGCTTGTTCAGAGATAAACACCCCATACACCCCACATTCAGAGAGCATTCATTTTGACGATCCAAATAAGCAGTCATACTGTATCATTAAGTGTTTTTCTGCCTTTGCACAGCCATCTTCAACAAGCTGAACATTGTGGTTGCAATGCAGACGAGCAGCGTTTTCAGGACCCTTTTTTCAGTTTTTCAGCACATTTTCTGTGCTGTTCAGGAAACCAACCTGTATTTAATGGGTTTACCACAACAGGTTACACGATAGACAGACTGCACTCACAGGATTTTTTTCTCTCCACACCCATGCACAGGATTTCCTCTTCATACATGTGATGAAATTCACACTTTGCACAGGTGGTAGAGAGCACAGCACAAGCCTCTCAAGGCAGCGATAGCATCTGGAATAATCGCTAATATGTGTTAGCTTTGCATCTGGAATCCCCAGCCTCGCATGCAAAGCGTTCATTCTGACCCAGTTTCCGTGGCAACCCTGAATGTCTGATGACATCATCACTGCAATTTCAGCCCAAGCATTAAAGGGTGACCACGTGACCCATCCAGCCGGCCCCACGTGTTTGTGTTTGTGCGTATGTGCGCGTAGTAAATAGCTCACCATATATTACAGATTCAGGAAGTGGAGGGTTTGACATCAGCTCTTCCATTCAGTGTCGGCTTTTATGTATTTGCTGCTCTGTAAGATTTCCAGTCTTCAGTGAAGAACCGCAGCCTGCTTACCGAGCAGCATTGACAAAGCTTGAAACGTAACAGATGGTCAAAGGCTCAGACGTCCGTTGCAAATAGTACAGGCTTTTCCTCTGATCTGGAAGGTTTTTAATCTCTATCAAAACTTCCTGTACAGAAATACGCATCGTACACATCTTAATGTGTCTAGTAATGAATGAAGCTAAATTTGACCTGAAATGGTTTTATGTTTCAAGCTTTATTTTCATCAAAAATGTGTTCATTGAACTCTTGAGCTTTTTTAACATTTTCACATAAACACAATATTCACAGTTTCCTTTTGATGTAAGCCCTGATTGGCCTGCATGCAAAACCCTTATGGCCAAATATTAAAACTGCATAGCACGCACATCATGACTCAGGTCAGTCCTAAAAAACAAAAACAAAACATAAAGAAAGCTGTGATAGTTTTCCACAAGTTATTAAGAGGAAACAAGTAGGAAAACATTCCCTATTAGGAAGACACTTCAGTCAGAGGCTTTTATTGTGTATCAATATAAGGGCATTGTGGTAACTTTAAAAAACAATAACTAAAACATACATGGGTCTAATTATAAGTCACTACTCCAATGAAATGTAAGAAGATACAGAATAAATGCAGCTGGGGTAGTAACATAGAAACATGCTGCCAGAGCTACAATAGGATTAAGTGGAACCCCAGTCGGCCTCAGCAGATGGCCGCTCACACTGAGCCTGGTTCTGCTGGAGGTTTCTTCCTGTTAAAAGGGAGTTTTTCCTCTCCACTGTCGCTACAAGCATGCTTAGTGTGAGGGATTGCCCTGGAGTCATTGAGTTGATGCAATCAACTGGTTTTCCTTAGATAGAAAACATTGAATCAATTTGACTGTAAGATCTGGTTAAATGGAAAGTGCCTTGAGATGACACGTGTTTTGAATTGGCGCTTTATAAATAAACTGAATTGAATTAGAACAAAGCATGTTCATGTGTTCAACTGGTTTATCTGAACACATGAAGTGGCCTATATCCAGTACTTTGGTGGAAGAAGAAAATAGTTGTTCACAGATGCTCTCCATCTTATCCAAACGAGCTGGAGATATTTCCACAAAATTTCAGACTTGGATATCCAAAGCTATTAGAGCTAATCCTCCACTAATCTCTCATCTGCACAAAACAGTATATCAAGACAGAAAAATGCAAATGCATACCAGGCTTCTAAGGTTTTTAACTTGAAAAAAGGTTTTGAAAACCTTTTATCTTCTACTGGAGGCTGGTACCTCCTTCCATTATTCTTTGGGCATACCCTGTACAGGTTGCCCGTTTAGGGCAACACGGACACACTCATATTAACAAAGTTACACCTATGGGTAATTTAGAGTCCCCAATCATCCTAAAAGTTATGAAAACCTACTCAGACACAGGGAAGAGAGGAAGACTTCATTCTGAATTTAGGACAAGATTCAAACCCGCAATGCAACAGTGCTACAAACTGCAGCACCCTGCCGCCCAGTGGTACATTGTTTCTCATCTGCCTCACAAAAAATCAAATAAATACATTTAAGTTTGGGTTAAAGATTGCCAGAATTGTTCAAGGAGTAAAAAAAAAACATTGCAAAATAATGTGAAGGTCAAGATTGATGTCAAGGATAGGTGGTGGTGAAAAGCAACCCTTTACCTGACTGCTTACAGACCAAGCAGTCAGCTGTTCTCAGGCTCCTCTTCCTATCTTTAAGAATAAAAGCGCTGTCTTCAAAGGACTTAAAATGACTGCAGAATATCTTACCCTACACATGAACCAGGACAGTGTGTCCCCCTTAGTGTGTTCAGCTCCTAAAAGCTTCATTTTTAACAATTTTTTCCTTTCCAAAACCTACAAATATGTAATATATTAGCTATAAAGTAATCTGCCAGTTTGCTCTTCTTGCTGCTCCGCATATGATATACAGCAAAGCTGGATTGAATTCTGCAGCTGGATTCATGTTTCCTAAATGGCAGCAGATAAGTTAAGGCTAGCGAACAGTTGGCGTCTTTGGTCATGTCCCGGCTGCTTGTTGAAGGGAGGTCGTCAGCCGCCTGGTGCCGCAGTTAATAAAAAATGAATGAAAACTAAAGGGGGAGGAGCCATCGGCTGTTGCTGAAGCTTTTAACTCTCACTTACCTGACGGGTGCGTCCTCTGTTGCTCCCAGTGGGCTCATGGCGCACACAATCCTGAATCCCTCTGCTGGCATACACTGCCAGGTTTTATGCAATACAGTGCAACAGCTGTTGGAGCTTTCAGCACCTACTATAGACACACACGCACTTGAAACTCTTTGTTGCTAAGGTCTATTTAAATGGATCCAGGGGAACCTCTTTATGTTGGAGGATTTGGCTTGAGCAGAATATGAAAAAGGGCAGAAAGCTGGGAATCGCTCAGTTTACCCAGATCGTATCCAGCTGTCATCTGCTGTAAACATTGGGCATTTTAAAGAAATGTGCGCACAGTAGCAGTGAACAGAGTGGGGTAGTGGTCCCTTTAAGTCCGGCACTGCCAGACTGGAGCATATGGGAAGCTAATCTTAGCCCCGGTTCTGAGAGACAACACTGGCAACAAGCCACAGTGCAGGTCTGAGGGATGGCTCTCCTGTTTTCTCTCTTTTCTCAGAGAAGCTTTTTATCTCTGCTCCTGAATATTGTCATTCTAAGTGGAGAGCTGCTAATGCATGTTATTAGCAGGTAAACTGTATATCCAATCTGTTTTTATGAAGCATTTTGAATCTGTTTATTCCACCTGTTCTCTTTGTTTGGGTAAGACTGACTGCAATCTGGTCCTTCTTTTCATATCCCAACCTTCAAGCACAAAGAGATGCCTTTTAAAAAGAGGCCCCAAATGCTGCGAAGCTCCACCCTATCAGGCCACTCCACCTATCACCACCTTTCCATTTATTATTTATTTTTCCCTCCTCCCGCCCCTATTCCCTCCCTCCTTTTTTTCTTTGTGAGGAGAGGTGTGAAGGTTTGGGGAATGGGGGCGGGGGCATCAGAGGTGCGGGCTAGCCCCAGCTGAGCGAATCGTGCTGACTTGCACGTGCTGAATGTCAGCAGATATGACTCAGTCTGGATACACAACACACTGGGCTTTAAACCCACAGCCAAACACACCTTGGACCTAACACCAATGCTTAGGAAGTTAACAGTAGAACGGCAATAAACAGACTAACAGGCAGTTTTAGAAGCTAAAACAACAAAGCAATTATTGTTATGATAAGGGGTCAAAGTAACAATCGACGTATTTGTT